CAAAGATGATATCTATGTTTTAGTTCGGAAATAATTGAAGGCTTAATGGAATCCAAGAAAATGTTGCTGCAATTAATGAGGATTGAGGCGAATAATCTGACAAACAACTTCAAAGTATGAAAATAAGTAGGGATGACTGATGAAGCCAACAATCCTTAAACAAATCACTACTTACAATGGGTATATAGATTGGATCTGCACATCGGCAGGAAACAACTTGCACTCTTCAGAAAAAATCTGAGCTTGTTTTTCGGCAATGGCATCAATTAGCTGAATGTCTCTGGCCACTTGCTCGTCTACACTGGAGAATACAAAACCCATATAAGATTTTATAGTATTTACATATAAGCATCAAGAACCAAGTAGAATGCAATAATTATTGATAATTAACAACGCTGATGTCACACACCTCCACTCAGGATTATCAGCATAGATGCTTGCTTCCACAAGATCAACAATAAGTCGTAGCATTTCAGTACGATCCTCATAACTCCCTCGACCCTGTAACAAAAAGTTCCATCATGCACCAGATAAACTAAACCCATACACTCAGCATGCCTTCATCATTGTAAAACTGGAAGACCACACAAAAATATCATCCTTTTCGTTCGGCCCTCTTAATTCAACAGGTTTAGGGTCAAAAAGGTCGATTGAACACAACTCATTCCTGCATATTCGTACTAAAGATGTCTACGCCATTCATCGGGAAATGAAAGAACAGTCTCCATACGGAATGCGCTAATTCCATTGTCATCGAACATCTTAGCCGAATGAGACACAAATTCGTACAACTAATTTAACAAAATCAACACTGCGTAAACTCACTTGTATGGCTTCAGTGTCTATAGTAGCTGTAATGCCAAGAAACTTTGCAATCTCAGCCAAATCTGTTCACCACGCGCAAAATTCAGTAAAAAAAGAGCATGATAAGCAAAAAGTGATTTCAAACTGGTTCAGTAAACTCTATCTACATTGTATCCTCGAAGTCTCTTCGTCTCGATCCACAGCATCCCCTTGCAAATTCTGCTGTGAAAATGGAGACTTGTCGCCCAATAATCTGCAGAGATTCAGAAAAATAACCACTGTAGATATCAAATCAACGAGAACCCAATTCCAAATCAAAACAAAATAGCGACTCAAAAAAGCGAAATTCAGAGGATTTGGTCCCGAACTTGAAGAAGAGCCACTCGAGGAGCGCGTATCGCTCCATGCCGGCGAAGAGGAGCGACTGAGCCGGGGCGTTGGCCCTCGGGTAATTCAACGTCGCTAGTTTCTTCTGGACTTCTTCCATTAGCTTCGACGCCATGATTTACAACAAATGTTGGAATTTTTCTTGGGGAAGCTTCGCAGGAGAGGAAAATGGAGAGGAGGATTTTTGAAATTTTTTGGTTTGGGTGCTGTGAAACAGTGAAAGTATACTAGCACGTTTGTTTATGGAAATTTTTGTTTTTGTTTGGATTTTTTAGTTTGGTTTGATTAATATTGAAAAAATAATATGATTAGTTGTTAGTGAATATATTAAAATAATATTTAAAATAAAATAATTAAAATTGATTTGATGTAAAAGTAGGAAAAAAATAATTGAAGTGATGGTTAATTAAAATAATGTGAATAAATGAATAATGAATTATAGTATGTATGAATGATTGATTGATATTATTTAATTATATTAATAATATTGATGGTAGTGNAATATATATATTGAATATGTTTTGTCCAAAAATAACAAAATAATAATTACTTTTTCTATACATTAGTAAATGTTGAATTTTTAATTTTAAGATTATATTAAGATATTCCGGGAATGATTGAAAATGTTTTATTTATTAAATGGGGCCCTATTTTTCCAATTCGGAGTGCTTTACGGTATAAAAAAAAAATCTGGTAAGGACAGGTAGATTTATTTTAATTAGTAAAAAAAATAAAAACTTGACTATGTTCACCTCCAATTTTCATTTATTTGTATTTTACGAAAAAATTGTTTTTTGATTGTAAATATACTATCTATCAATGTTTTATGAATAACTGATTAATGATTTATTTTTGTCATTGATTTCTAGATTGCATCATGTTTTTGTTTATAACTCGTCTATAACTAATTTTATTTTAAACGTGTATTTTCTTTTAAATAAAATTCTAATAAAGGGCCTCGAAAAATGGGTCAAGCCCTATGGAGCATGGAGTTAACCATCCCACATTTGGTCGGCCCGATCGAGGCAATGCTATAATTCTGTGTGTTTGGTTGGGCTTAATGGTCTTGATATCGTGCACATTGTTTATAACAGTTTTGCTATGAAGCTATCGAATTAATTATTGGATGTGAATAAACATTGCCAAAACCCGGGCCGGATCACGGCCCGGTCCGGCCACCGAGTCGCCGGGCTCGAAAACACTGACCCTAAACCGGCACGGGCCTATACTCGTGCCGGGTCCGTGTCCGAGTTGGGTCATGTCCGAGCCGAGTTCGGGCTTTTTTAAAAAAACAATAGAAAAAAATAAAAAAAAAAGGAAAGGAGGGTCATCGACCCGGCCTGGACCCGCCGGGCCGGGTCATGAAATGGATGACCCTTACACGGCCCGTCTGAAATTCGGGCCGGTCCCAGACCCGTGGTCAACGGGTTTGACCGAGCCAGTTGACCCGTGGCCATGTCTAGATGCGAAATCAACCAAAAAAATAATAAATGAAAATGGATAACGGACTGTGCAATAAGACGAACCCAATTGAATAGCCCGCAGGAGAAGTGTGTGGCAAGCTTAATTATCCAGCTCATTTGGTACTTGTCAAGTCAACCCATTAAAAGAATTAAAAGACAAGAGTATGTTGAGCTACATTATAAACCCAAATGATAAAAATCTAATAAGCACACAATTGTCATTTGATAATAAAGGATTATCTTTTTTCCATTGCGATCATCAATTTTTCTCCATTGTTGTCATATAAAAAATTTCGACTTGAATTTTGAGGCATCCAGCCCGAAAGTAAATGGGGCTACATAAAAAATTACATGGGGTTTATGTATAAATTTTTTTAAAAAATAATATTAGCAATTTTTTTTTGTTTTTTGTTTTTGGGACATAGGGCTAGAACCCATCCTTGTCCTACGGTGGCTCTGCCCTTGGGGCAGAGGCTAAAAAAAGGACGTTATTAGTGGGATAGTGGCGTTTAGGAGGAGATAGAGTTTGGTGTCGTTTGAGTTGATGGAATTTGCAGTGAGGTTGTAAATGGCGGTGCTCATGCCGTTGAAGCTTATGGCGAGAGAGAGGGCTAAGGCGTTGTTTGTTCGGAAGTTTTTGATGTAGATTACGTAGCACACGGTGTTGAACTAGGACACGCTGTTGCCGGCGAGCAACGAGGATATGAGTACCTTGCGCATGGAAAGTTTGAGAAGAAGACAAATCTCAAGAATGGATTATGTGTTAGGGTATGTTTGGTAAAACGAGCAAATAAGCTAGCTTATAGCTTTTAAGTGAATTTTGAGTGTATAGATGAGAGCTTATGATTTATGGCTAAAAAGCTAGTTTATATGATACAAGTGTTTGGTAAAATTAGCTGATAAACTAACTAAAATAAAAAAATTGATAAGCTTACTTGAAAAACTACCCAAAAAACCTTTTTTTTTTTTGAGGTAACAACACCCCGGGAGGGTGGAGTTAAGGCCAAACCCCCGACCTGTATATAAAAAAGGCTCTAAATAGGCTCAAAAGTCACAAAGCTACAGATCGATGTCTAAATAAACAACAATCCAAATGAACAAGAACAAACGAAAACAAGTAAAAGAAAAATACAACAGCTGCAAATAAGCATAAAAAATCTGATCCTGATCCTAAAAGAGTCCATGCAAAGAGTCAACATCATGAAGAAGCAGAGGCATCAAAATGTAAGCAAGGGCACCAAAATGGAAGAAAACTAAAGTATATATTTGTGGAGTAGCTGATCAATAAGAGTCTCATATGTAGTTTTTTATCATATGGATATTAGATACTTTATTAGTCAATTCATAATTTTAGTAGAAAAATATTTTTTGTTGGTAAATTATTTGTACATGTAGTAAACTGCACAAAACATAAACTTTTTATGTTTTTGATGAAATTGAGAAAATGTATTATATTTTCTCTCTCTCTCTCTCTATATATATATAATGGTTATTTTTTTTTCAAGCTACAAATCCTCTAATTATTAGTACATTTTTGTAATTTTAAAATGTTTATTTTCGTTGACACATTCATTTAAAATGTTTTAATACATTTTAAAAATCTAAATTAATTTTTGTAATTTTTATTAAAATTTATAAAGTCTTAATTGAATACATTATTACTTAAAATCTGTAATTTGTCTAATTTTAAATTGATAATTGTAATAGGAAACATGGTTTAAGTCTTCATTTGTCATCCATCCAACCCAACAATCAAGAAAAATGTCAAATTATATTATTATAGCAATTACTATTCATTAGCATGCCAGTTGACTATATGCTAAAATGTATCATATAATCATAATTTAACAGTACGAATATTATAATTATTTTATTTTGGATATAGAAAAAAATAAAGAAAGCGAAATAAAAATATAAACTAAGGGCCAAAAATATTTTGAAATCTGGAAAAGCCCCTTTGGCCGGGCCGTGAGCGACCAAGGTAGACTCTATAGAGAGAAAGAGAACTGTTAGAGAGAGAAAAATGAAAGGTGGGAGAAAGAGGAATTCCGGCACCGACCCCGCACAGCCACCGCCTCAAGACCCGGATTCCACCGTAGACGGCGGCGTTGCGGCGATGGAGGAGAGGCACAATACAGAAGATGACAGCGGCAGAATCGAAGGTGCGGTGGAAGATTTTGAAGAGGAAGAAGGAGAGGATGAGGAGTTTTCGGGAGCTGATAGAGAGTACGAGCAGCTGGAAGAGGCGCAAATTGGGGAGTCGGCCGAGGGCCAGAGGACGAAGCTCGCCGATGGGTATTATGAGATCGAGGCCGTACGCAGAAAGCGCGTCCGAAAGGTATTTCTTACATTTCCTTTTTGTTTTTCCAATTTTCGCTTCCTTAGAAGAAGTTAGAAGACGAGATTCGTGCGTTGAGGGTTGTACTAAAGCTCGCCTGTCTTTGATTTGTGGTTATCTCGTGTTTTTGGGGGGAAATGCGGCAAAATTTGAAAGGGGAAAGTGCAGTACCTCATCAAATGGTGAGTGATCTGGAACTCATAACAATTTCTCCTGGTGTTTGTTATCGATCTTTTTTTTCTTGATTTCTTGATTTCTTGGTA